TTAATTTCCGGGACAACTTTTGTCTATTTCAACATTTTCTTGAGGAATTTTTCTTGATCTGCATAGATTTGTCTTACATTTCAATTTTTGCTCTTAATCGTTACTTTTTATTATAATTACCCTCTCTCTCATCACCTCATATTGCCTACTTTAATCCTTTTTATATTTAATCATTTCTGGTTTAAATAAATAGCATAATAAAGTAATCATTTTTTCTAAAAAAATGTTGCTGCTTATTCAAATTTGATATCCTATTTAGATTACACCTTATTGCCTCGAAGAATGAGACCTTGACTTTTGATATGAAAATATTTCATGTAAGTTGTCTTAGGTCAATCAGAACAGTCCAGGGTAATTGTAGATCTGAGTTGTTTTCGAGACTAACAATAATTATTGAGTAAAGAACTTAATTACCCTAGCTCTGCTAAGGTGTTTCTCGAAAATCTATCTCATCCAAGACGGAAAACAGTTTCTACCTCGACTAGGTTTCATCAGCACACCAAATGGGATCAGATATAGGCTCCTGAGTATAATGGCGGCCTTACTAGTCCACTAGGCGGAGCCATCTGCAGATCCTAAGTAAGCATTTAAATCTCACATCAGGTGAATACAATTCTTGGCCTATTGTAAATCCTTAAACACAATCGCTGAGCGTAAGGAACTGAGTTCAGTTAATAAAGAGAATGTCGTTATTTTACATTATTTGCATATGTCGGTTATCTGAGTACAAGAGGCCGAATTGACTCTAAAATGCAATTCTTCTTCCTCAACATCTTATTTGAACCATCTATTTATGTTCTTAATTCAATATAAGTATCCCATATTACTGTCCTTGTTTTTGCAAGTAAGCTATTGGCACCTTGACTATGTCCTCGAAAAAGAATAATTTACAAAACACCTCAAGCTACCAAACTTATAAAATGAACAAGCACTCACGGTCGCATGCCAGATAAGATCAATTTGATGTAGATAATCATCTCTTCCTTTTATTTCAAATAATGACATGCAACAGTTTCCTTTCTAAAGAAATGCACATATTCGCGGATAATCCAACGGGATTTTATCTTTATTGATGATAAAACTCAAATTATTATTAATAGGTTGGTATCAAGAGTATCAAAAATTCTACACAACTGAGCAACCAACGTAAAATAGCCCTCCGCCCGCAAGCCATGGTAACTAGAGCCTGGATCATAGCAGTCCATACTTGGTAATCCCAACAATCGTGTAACCTTAAGCGAATGGCTTTATAAATCAAAGCGTTATGTTGGAGAGGATAGCATGATGGAGTATGATCTAGACCATTTTTGAGTGAAGTAGGCAAAGTCTAGGCAGATATATAAAAATGACAGTATAATCAACTTAAAAAGATACTTCGATCAACTGTAATTAGAAAAAGGATCCTTGATCATAATAAACGAGATAAGAAAAGCATTATAAGATATATATGTGTAATCAAAATTACAAATATTTATGTGGTAGAACTTTAAGAAAGGCGGCGTTCCAATCGAGACCGTTGTTATAATAGTTCAAAAGAATCTCGACAACTTGGTTGATGGGCAATATTGGACTCTTGATGGGCGCCAATCGTTTCGGAGGCTCTGTCACTGAGTTAGACTCTCTTTCAAGAAAGTCCTGATAAGGCAAGCGAGCAGTATGCATATGTGATTCTGTCGCACGCACAAAAGTCAGATTCTGTAAATTAAATTAGGGTAATAAAGACCAAAACTTAATATAGGAAAGTATAGCTCAATGGAGGCAAACACTTTAAACCAGTGATTCCTAAACTGTGGGCCGCGGTGCTCCGGGGAGCCGCAGCCTTTTTACAGGGGCCCCGCGAAATATTGTAGAAGCTTCAATTTGAGAAAATGTTCAGTGATTTGAAGGCTCATCCATCACATTAATTATAAAATATTAAGTTAATGTTAATAAAGTAAAAAAAATAATGAAGATACACGAGTTTATTTATTTTTATCTCTTACGAATAGTTATACTCAGGGTAGGGCGCCATGGAAAAATTATAATTGAAATAGGGCACCAAGACTAGGAAAAGTTTCGGAACCCCTGCTTTAAGCAATTCATTGCGCCATGCCTGGTAGGCAAGATTGAAGCTAATAATTTGAATTTGTGCATCGATAAGTATATTATTAAACAAATGAATCATCCAAACATTTTAACCTCGTATTATCTAGCCTTTCGATCAACGTGCGATTCATATTTTATGCTTTTACATTGAATAATTCTAGTATTAGGT